TACGCACGCTTGAGCCAGGATAGTGCTGGGATGTATGACTGCCATGTGTATAAACAGGCGTTATAGAGGCCTTCTGGGCTGTGTGGTCGGCAGTACTGAGCAGTGAAGAAACATCAACTGTTGTATTGTACTTCTATAGTTCCACATCTCTGCTCCTCGCCTTCATCGACCCACATTGATCGGCATGGTCAAGTATGGTCAAATAACCCCCACGACCCAGATAGGCATGGGGAGGCCCTCATCCACCAGTGGATTGACCAAGGGTTCTTCATGTACACACCTCTGAAAGTGTCATAGCCTGATAAAATCAGCCAATCGTAGATTATTCCGCTGTGAGGCCGAGTTTTTACTCGTGTTTTTCTCGACTGCCACCAGTTACTCAAAAGTTGTGAATTCCATTTTACCTTAACAATAATTAAAGTATCCTTAAAACATGTCCCCCCCCCCCCCCCGCCCTTTGTGCTTTCATTACTTGATAATTATCAATGTGTCTCTTCGCTGCCTTGGCCCAGACTCTATCTTTGTTAATTATTCACACGTTGATTATGGAGAATGTTATTATTAACTCCCCTAGGCACGTTCATTAGGGCGGCGACGCGGCCCAGCTGCAAGCGCGTTCGCCGCCTTTTGCAGAGCTTCACGGTTCGAATCCGGTGGCCGCCCTGAGTGCAATAACCATAATAATAATAATACGACACGCCATCAGCTTTACAGTGGACGTTGAAGGTTCTGCGATGCCAGCGACATTATATATATTAAAAAATGTATTACCCGCAAATTACTCAACTAATGCCTGGCAAAATGAATGCACCGGGTCGCTCTTGAAAATGAAGCCTTCTTGATCTCTTCAGTTGTTATTTGGTTTAGCGAAATAAACTAACCGATTTGTCATGCATTCATGCAGTGCAGAATTGTACACGGGTCAGCCATCCACAAAAACAAACACGTTAAATAACGTGTCGTCACATAAAAATATACTTAAGGCCATTGGATCATTGGTTTTCCAGACCAATATTATTTTTCATAATTTATATAAGAAAACCAGCTTTGGCCCAGTTTCGACCTTGACCTTCCGTGTCCCAGGCTTGTTCAACAAATTCTGCTGGGGTACTGGATGCTCAATAATTCACATCTTCAAATATGTAGAAAAAACTATAGGATTCCCGATTTTTTATTCCGATTGTGTTACTGTCATTATGTCTCTTGATTCATATATTTCTGTTTGGATCTCTGTAGGAGCAGTGCATAACCAAGTATTTGAATGGCCCCAGAAGGTAATGTCAGAGAACTACTCCTTAAATCACTTATATGAGGCACATTATCCACACTCGGAGAACACATTTGAATGCCCTGCGCATATTCTTTTGTTACCAGTCGATCATGTCTATCAAACTGAAAACCTTAAGTGTCAAAGCCACGTTAAGTGAAAAACCAAATAGAATGTTAGAGGGTTTTATTCCGTCGTCGGTCAGCAAGCCGAGACAATTAACTCGCTACGCCTGATAACTGGTTTAAATCACGCGTGGCTGTCCAGATTCAAACCCAGCATCTCAGCAGCGCTGGCTCAGTGCTGTGACCTCAGTCACCCATCCACATCTCAAATATTTGTTTTTATTCTCTGCCTTTTAAAGAGCTGAATATAAAATTGTTCCAACTGTTTGCACACATTGATGTTGATTCTAGGAGGTTGACACAAAATCGTGGGATAATCTCCGTCGCTCCACCAATGTGAGGCTGTTACCTCCGGGTATAAATCACATGTGGCAGCAGTGGAAAGCATTCGGAAACTCATTCTCGTGGTTTTGTTGTCCTTGTCAAGAGGGCTGTATTGATGCATGATAATCACGTGTCCTCTCTGGTAAACATCGTTATGATGACATCAGACCTCGAGGGCAGCCCGATGCCAACGAGGTGCGATGTATAGCTGCTGGTGTGAATCACTAATTTATTCCTCCAGAAAATGCACGCGGTGTTGTTGCTTCGCGCGTTCACATGTCAGGGACTTATTTTGGTTATTGTGTTAATTTATTATTTCCATCGGCCAGAGAGCAGACACAAGCCCACCAGCGTGGCCTGGAACACGTGCAGGCATATGCACGCTCCATCGCGCCTACGCTATCTGTATTCACCGAGGTGACGAATGACAGAAGTACGAGACATTTATTTCACCCGGTAAAAGCTGCTTGGGTTGATAAAAAAACGATATTGGTCCTTTCGGTAAAATCACGTAGAAGGGAAGCAATTAAATAATAAAAATATAAAACAATAAAATTCTCACGACGTTTCGACTGCAACACAAGCAATCATCATCAGGTGTGAAAACCACAGCAAGAAAATTTGAAAAAAACCCCCTTTGTTCTGCGGGTTCCGTGATGCCGCATCGAGACCCAACGCGTGGTCGTGTTTGTACCGCAGCGGCGGAAGCGGGTTCTCACTCGCAGCGCCGTCTCCAGCCACTACTCATCACTCCTCCATGCACGTACCACCATTTTGACTTTCATTTTGCCACGTGTGAAAGTTCATTGATATTCACGAAATATCATCAACACGGGGCTCGAGTATTTGTAGTTATGCAGAGAAGAGTCTAACCCTTTATCGTTTTAAAGTCGGAGCGTATCTCCGCTGATAGTCGTGTATGTTAGAGATCCTAAGCCAGTGTAGGAAATTTCACATTACCGTGGCTAAAGTCAAGATATATAAGACGGAAACCGCTGCCACAAAGCAGAGCTATTTTTTAATTGATGGTAGTCTGATTAGTTCACCAGTCAGTATTTTAAACTTGAGGTTGAGTCAAGCGCTCGAACCACAGCGCCATTCGGCAGGCTACAACATTTATTTTAAAATTTGGGCAGTGGCAATTGACAATCGGGCAACGGCTGTGAATGACAATGCATCGATTATCTTAACGCGCGATTTTGCAGCGCAAAAATTACCGGACGGAAATAGGACTCAAACTGCAGCGCCGTGCGAATTTTGGTTTGCGGCCAATTCATCGACCTTTCCCCATTTCATCCGCCCGAGTGAACGGCGTATGTTGTGAAACGCATCGGTGAAGGATGGACCAGGAGGCTAAGGATGCGAAATATGAGAGTCCCTCGACCCATGCAGCATCATTCAATTAAACCCCCTTAGGAGGGAAGTACGCAACTCCTGTAGATAGCGAGCGAATGGGGCGATGGGAGAGGAGGGAGAGAGGTGAAGAGGGGGGAGCTTCTGTGAGCCACTGCACTCATCCTTAAACCCAAATGAACGGCTCATGCAAGGTCGAAATCAGTGCACAGTTTGTTTGCTTACACAAATGCCGATTGATGACTGGTCTGCAAAGTCAATCGGCTCACGGATCCAATTGTGTTTGTTATTTACATGGATACACAGAATGGAGATTTACTTATCTATGGTCTCTCGCGGAAGTCGATTTGTCATCCTTCGCATTTCCCCTCCTCTCCCCCAACAACAACCATCAAATATCCATTAGCACGGGGAGGTGAGTGGTGGTGGTTGGGAGGGCTGTCTCCAACCCCCAGATCGGCACGGATGCCGATGCCACCACCACGTTCTGTTTGTAATGAGTGCACCCACCGGACGCACACGCTTTCTCAAATAGGTTTCCCATTCATAAAAGACGGAGATCCCTCCATACTGCTATACAGAATACTTCATAAAATGCTCTTAGCGAGGACCTATTAATGCTGGAACACGTGGCATACGAAGGCGTAGTGGGGCGGGGGGGGCTATAACAACGATAACCTCAGCCAAGCTGAACCCGATAAGGCAAGCGGTGCCGTGTACCCGTGGTCGTGGCGGCGGCGAGAGCCGTCGAGAACCTCCATGAATCTTTAAAAATGGGCCCAGCGTCTCTGACCGATGGGGCCAAATCGTAAGCGCTGCGCTCAGCAAATCTCGCCGTGCCGATTGTGTTCAGTGGCGGGAGACTGTTGCTCTCCTTTGCGGTTTCTTGAACGGCACGGGGCACGAGGAAACGGGAAAAAAAAACCAAACCAATAGTGTAGCGGTTAGCACACTGCCTTCACAAACCCAGCGACCAGAGTTTGATTGCCACTCACAACCAAAATCAGTGACAAATATCTGAACCTGATTTGTGGGCTCCCCTAGGTCGACTCAGCCTTAAATTGATCCCTGGTGCTTTGTGTAAAACATCAGCACTGGGAGACAAAGGTGGCCGAGCGTGGTGCTGGCCTGCAGCACCGACAACATACATCTCACGCAGCCTAACACATGGCGAACCGGTTGCAAGCGGCACGAGGGGTTCTGGTTAAATAAGTTTCAAATTTCTATATGAAATGAAAGAGAAATGTCTGTAAATATTTATATTAAATAGACAAACATCCCCCCTCCCCAATAACCTACACAGGCAGCAAGTGCTGTTAGAGAGCACGGTGGGTGGCACGAGAGGACAGGTGGCCAGCACCACGCTCGGCCACCTTTGTCTCCCAGTGCTGATGTTTTACACAAAGCACCAGGGATAAATTTAAGGCTGAGTCAACCTAGGGGAGCCCACAAATCAGGTTCAGATATTCGTCACTGATTTTGGCTGTGAGTGGCAATCAAACTCTGGTCGCCGGGTTTGTGAAGGCAGTGTGCTAACCGCTACACTATTGCTCCCTCAATGTTTTACATACATACACACTTCGGCACCATTATGCTTAAACTGTGTGGGCTTAAATAATACGGATAAATGAGAGCGTCGTGTCGCAGCGATTACGAACCCGACGACCTACGTACGCGAGTTCGATTCCCGGCCATGAATAACATCAGTGACGAGCGATATCTGAACCGTTCCTGGGTACATCCCATGCTGACTAGTGTGGCAAAGTACGGTCAAACAACCTTCACCATCGACACGGCATGAAGAGCCCTTCATCTGGCAGCAGATTAACAAAGTAGATTTTTTCGTGATTTTAAATGATGAAACTCATCCACGTACACACGTTTTTCCACCTTCCCCCCAACCTCCATCCCCCCCCCACCCTTCCCCCAAGGCCTCCTGGTTCACGAAGGCCCTGCCGTGTACCGCATCCTCAAGCGGTGGCGTGCCGTGAACCAGCGCTGGCGCGTGCTCAACTACCAGAAGAACGTGGACAAGCTGGGCAAGACGGGCCCAGGCCGGGCCTCGGCTGGCTCCTCCGTGCTCTCGCCCCTGCGCTTCCACTTCGGCGTGCTGTTCCTGCACCTGCTGGATCGGTTCGGATCGGGTCAGGAGGGCACGGAGGCGGGCGGCGTCACCCCAGAGCTCGTCATGAGGGTCACGACTGTTTGAGCCGCGCAGTGCCGGGCGCACGGAGCTGGGTGGCGGTGCACCGCGAATCGTGGCTGCAGTAGGATGAGACTTCAGCGGCCAACGGAGGAGTTATTGGAAGAAAAAAAAAACTTGCGGACAGATCAACGCGGATTTTTATGAAAGTACTATTGTGATTGTTATTATTGCCATCAGGATTTTATAGGCGAGGTGGCGGACGGGCGTGCGAGTGCCGCTGGGTGGTCGGGGCGGGGGGGGGGGGTCATCAAAGGAACGATGAAAATTGAAAATGCGCGACCCCTTGGGCCCAGGTCTCCATGTGGTCGCGCTGTCAACAAGGCACCTTACACCTCAATCCACTGCTGGAACTCCAGGAGCGAGACCAGAGCCGCTTTGGGCTCGCTCCGCCAACCACGAGAAGGTGATTGGCTTTGACGATCGCGCACGCTCGTGGTGTCCCCAGCGGACGATTGGAGGCGACTTGAATTTTAATGTCCCGAACGCGTGCAATGGCACTTTTAAAAGCTCTCCGAATCATCCTCGCAGCAGCACCCGACGGCAGCCTCTTCTGATGTCGCGTACGACTTTACAGAGGGGGGTGGCAGGGGGCGGGGGAGGCGGTTGGTGAGACAAACAACAGCGTGCATTGCAAGTTGTGCACCGGCACTTTTCAAGTTTATATTAAATCGTGCAAGTCACGGAGAAAAGCACGCACACGCATACCACATAATATTTCATTTGCCCTTTGTTTTGTATTCTTCCACGCTACTGAATAACCAAATATTACAAACAGTATGCAACGTGTGTACACACACCGCACGTGCGTCTGATTAAGAAATTCAGATGCGCACTACCGACTATCATTTATTGATTGCACAGTTGTTGAATTTCACAGACGAGAGAAAAAACCCCCAAAGCCGATGACTCCGTCTCTTGTGCAGACAATGCTTTACCGTTGATGGTTTTGCGCAAGTCCACGCGCTAGGCAGTGGTTCTACGGGAAGGGATTACACTCATGCACCCACACGCTGAGCTGGCAGACACCGCTCTTGCTCGGGGCAGAGGCGGATGTGTGCGAAATCCATCTGTGCTTCTACACAATCCCTGGCTTTTCCTGAGTGCGGGGGAAGGGGGACCCGGAGGATGGGGCTTGCGGGGCTAAAATCTGTACGACGCGGGAAATAGATGGGGAGGGGGATAGGAGAGGAAACACCCTGGATGGTATGAGCCAGGGATTTGCGGGTTTAGGAATGGAGGGCATGGTGAACTGTTACAAATAGTGCGACACTGCGGCAGCCCAGCCGCCAAACTCATTCCTAACCCCAACCCCAGACCCCGAAACCAACCACAACACCTGTGAAACACCATCCCTTCCTCTCTCATGCCCGCTTGTGTCGTATTCATTTACACGTCAACTACCCACGCCCCAAAACCAATTCTGATAGTTTTATTTTTCACTCCGCTATAATAGCGCCCAATTGGGTACACGAACAAAATCCAAAACCATCCCGACCCAGTGTCACTCAGCCGTGGTCAGTAGCGGCAAAGTGTGATGCGGCATTAACAAATCCGTGCATCGTGCCATCTCCAATGAATACACGTGGGTGAGAGAAGGGCTCAACTGTCCCAGCTGTATTCACGTGCCACACCGCTGCCTTACAGGCCCCGGCATTGACCCTGCTGCACCAGCACTATTTCAGTCCACGACTGTATGAGGGGCCTCCCCCGCCCCCACGCCATGGTGGGTTGTGAGGTCTATTCGACCATACTTCACCACGCTGGTCGGTGCAGGCGGCGGGGGACCATTTACGTGGGAGCTACTCTCCCCATGGTGACATTGCTGCCCGGTAGCAGCCGAGAGCACCTGTGTTCTGCATGGTGGTCGCTCATCGCAAGCACGAGTCAGGGGCTCAACCCTTGCCTCGCTTTTGGACGTGTGACAAAATCGGGCAATTTGGGCAAAAGGGATGGATCGTGTGCTGATGAATTTTGCCCCCCCCCCCCCCCCCGTTATGACAGTATAGAAATTGCTTCATATTATATTATTTATCGAATTCCCAGCATCAGCAGCTACGGCGGAGCAATGAATGTGAACGCCTGGAGACACCCCATGTTTTATTCATCGGCCGTGTGCGAATCACCGAGAAACACTCGCTGGAGATGAGTGGACACGCGGACAACAACAACTTCACATTCTCCATATTTTTATTTCAAGTAATTCCTCCGTCTCACCGAAAAAGATACCCCCCCCCCCCCACCTTCCACCCCATGAATGAATTGTATTAGAGTGATTGGCATGGCAGTCAGAAAAATGTACAGTATATATGTATACAGTGTACGCTTATGATCAAGTGTACCTTGAATGTGCCTGATATCGTCGGATCACGGAAGCTAAGCAGGTTGGATCTGGTTAGTGGCACTTGGATGGGTGACCACCAGGGTGTGCAAGGTGTTATCGTTGGGATGCAAGGTGGCCAGGGGATGGCAGTGCCGAGTATCGCCCCAGAATTTGCGTGGCGCGGTTTCTAAAAAAGGTACTACATTTTTCTGGAGTAATTGGCCAAACATCGCATTTATAGATTTGAGACGCAGCGAGGCATTGTTGGGTAGACAATTGGATTTGGCATCGTGCAGTGAAGCATCGCCGAGTCTTAAAGCGTCTCAGAAGGGTTCCAGTCTGGATATCTGGCCAATGTATTATTGAAGGAGCGTTTAAGTTGATAACGTTCAAAATGTGCACGCAGACTCTTACTTACGGTGGACGTTTCTTCCTGCAGTTGCCACTCTGTCGTGAGGTTCTACCACTGGCCATCAATTTCTGCCGACATATCCTGCCCAAGTCCACATTTCTTAACGGACACGGGACGCATTTGAACTTGCCATTTGTTTTCTCATCCATGCATTCCTCTTCCTGCCTCTCAGTGCAAACCCAAGCGTGCACCTCTTCCATGCGCCGTTCGTGTTTAAGTCACGGCGCCAATGCCTGCGATCCACTCAATGTCCGCGCGGCTGGAATGGGTTGGTCCCCCCCCCCCCCCCGCCCTTCCCCCCGTCCTTCCCTTCTTACCCAGGCCGTCAGCGATATACGAGCGGGGGTGGGAACATGCCGCTCTGCATGCCAAGTGTTCACCCGGGGGATGCTGCCATGGAGAAATGGATACACCATAGTTACGTCGATCGGCAGGTGGCTCGTGATGGGGTGAAGAAGCGCGGGTGAGATGCAGCGTGAGTGAGAGACGACAGGGGCTGCGCCTTGTATTGAGCTGTTTTTCCAGTAGAGCGTCGTTGAAGTCTGGAGATTATTCAATTGGTAGTCGGGCACGGCGTGAGTGGCCAGCACCACGCTATGCTGCCTTCGTCTCCGTAGTGGCGATGTTTACACACCGTTATAGATACTCATTTGAGGCTGTGTCGACCTAGTGGAAGCCCAAGATCCATTTAGATAATGGGCACTGGTCCAGAACACACACGCGAGGGAATGAGGCAGAAGGTATACTTCACAGACTCAGCAAATTAAAGCCGTGGGACTCATCCATCGCCGTGTACTGGCATCGCTCGGCCACCGCAGCCTCATCACGCCTCCTCCGACATCCAAACACCCGCGCTCGAGTTCTCACGTAATTCATCACCCGCCCCCGCTTAAGCAACACACGATGTACGGTCGGACGCATCGTGGTTTGCCCGCAGCGCACACGTGGAGGAGAGGGAGGAGTGGTGGGGTACACACACGCTGTGCGCGATTTGAGTACAGAGCTCCCAATATTCTGTCTGTCTGCAGGCAGTTTGTCATTCGGTACACGTATTAAAGTCCTTTTGTAAATTCCACTACTGGTTGATGATCTCCCCACGCTGTTCGAGCATACCGTGGTCAGTGCGATGTTGGTCGAGGCGGGGACCAGAAGTACGGTTCAGAAAAAAAATGATGCTTCAATATCTGCCACTGACCACCACGTGGCCCTGCAGCAGCCTATAACACCTGGTTACGCATGGTAGTCGCCCAGCCAATGCTCGGTTACCAACGATATCCAGGCTCACTTTAACTTCGCTTCCGATATCTGACGAGATCGGACGGATTCCTGGGGATTTTATAACAAAGGTACTTTCACAGTGCCATTCATTAATTAATAGGAGCGTGTGAAATTGTCATTATCACGTGTAAATGGAGAACGATTCTAAACGCGCATGGGTGGATATGGGCGTTATCTGGATATTTGCGCTCAGAGCTGCCCGGATCGGGAATGGTGTCCTCAAAGCGGTTTCACACTAACTGGATAACACAAAACCATTGCAGGCATATTTGACAAGCCGATGAAAACCTAATAACATTTCAGGCCACGACACACAACACTGGCAAATTTAGTCCAATTGCTATCGTTCATGTGCGTCGTACCATTTTTCTATTCCGTACCACGGAGAATTTCGTCAGAGCCAGAGTTGCCTGAAGTAAATGCGTAGCGGGTGAAAATTGCGCTAAAATTGCCCCAGTGTATCACGGGTTGAAATACTATTAAAGGCCAAATTGGCAATTGCGTTAAAATTTGTTTTTATCGTATTGTTGTGTCCTGTTGGGTAATTCCGTTTGTGTTGACCTATATAAGTAGTTGTTTTAAATTACATTCCCAGCCCTTTTGTTAACCCACTGTTGAACGAAACCCTCCCCACGCGGTGTCAATTATGGAGGTTGTTTGACCATAACCCTTCACCGCGCTCTCCGGTGAAGGCGGCGGGTGGAAGATTGGTGGGGGGATCGAACTCAGGTATTTGGGTTCAAAGCGGAGTGCACTAACCATTGCGCCGTCACTCTGCCCCATCGTAATTCTGCACTGTAAAACCCTGTTGTCAATATACTGTTGTCAATATACTGTTGTCAATATACTGTTGTATGTACGTATGTTGAACTTCTTTAGCACCGCAGGTGCTAAGCAGGTGGTGGTCAGTGCGGGCTGGTGAAGCCATGGTAAGTCATGCATAACACATCGCTGCCGTTTATGTGCAATCGGTAAACCCTTAGCGATGAAAGATTCATGCTCGTGGTAAGTTGTAGCACAAGAACCCTTCTGATTACGTTCGGTAAAAAAAAAATCCACGGATCTGCACAAGAGACAATGCCGAAACCCAGCGATTCCAATCGTCACCAAATGCAAATACTATGCCAACGTTCCTTCCCCAAACGAGTTCATTGATGACTTATTTACAATTGCTGTTATCGAATTGCCATTTCAGAGATTTGCGAGTGCTAATTACATAAGTTCTTTAATAATTCTATACATGTAAGACTCATGTGCTTTAATTCTAAAAAAAAATATCTTTTCAAAACTTTGCGCGATCGATCTTCTCTGTGTGTTGATGTTGGAATGTGTGATCGTCAAATCTTCTCAACCCGGGCCAAACGAGACGGGACCGGTCCCGCCCTCCTCCGCGCTCGCCGCGGGACCCAACCTTAATTAATCAATTACTATATAAGGCAGACGAAAATTATATCGTGCGCGCGCTGGATATCATCTGCATATATATTGGAGAGACAGTGATGGATGAGGGCTTTGGCTGTGAAGCATCCGTGGGCGGGGGTAGTTGGGGGGGTGGAGGTGAGGGTGGCAAGATGGGGGGAGAGGCTGGCCCAGGCTTTACAACATTGACGAAAATGCTAAATCCCATTGGTCCATTGAAAATAATGATATTTGATAATCCTTTATCAATTCAGTTCCGGGTGAAAATCTCCCCGTGCCTTGTCAGTCACAGGGGTTGATTGAGCATACTTCACGCTGGTCGGCCTAGGTTGGTAAAGGGGGAGGTTAAAACCTCGGACCCGATCAGAGATCGGTGGCGAGATAATCGTATTCAGGTAGCCGGGTTCGTAGCGCAGAGGCAAATACACTGCGCCACCGCTCCACTGATGCATCAACTGATTGTCGTTAATTCATGTTTGGTTTATTTAACTTGACTTCTAACGCTGAACGACGCCCTGCCCTAAGCAAATACGAAATTATAGGTTTGGTTTGATTTGCCAAGTTCGTGTTTCCCAGTGGTGTTGATGCCTCGACACCTCGGTGATAACATTAGTGCACACTAAATACGAATCAAATACCCAGGACAGATTCCATGTCCAACAATGTCCTGTTCCTTTGGAATATTTGGCCAATTCCACGAGTGAGTGTTTGGATTCAAGTGGCAGGAAAGTGACGTTGCCCGGATACAATCCACGATGTATAAACGAGGCGACAGCTCAGATTCAGTCCACAGACACACCTAACGCATCATTTAATATATGAGGGATCTGCGGAAGGGGGATGGGCCCATTCTTGTTCCGCTCCCTCGCGATCATATCGCAGCCCTCGCAGCCCGGTATGCAATGGTAGTCACCCAATATACAAAGCACTAACCAAGGCTCAGCCGTCCTTAGCTTCCAAGCTTTGGACGCGAATGCGCACACCGAGGGGCATGGGGGGGGGGAGGGGGGTCTCATAAAGGAACTTATATCGCGAACATGAGCGTCGGGTAACGCTGAGCTGAGCGCAGAGAAGCCCATGGTGATTACACGGAGTAAACGCGCGGGGTGGGGAGGGGGCAATCGACCGTGGGCGCCCGCCGCTCTCCTCTCCCTCCGCGGGACCCTCTCCGCCCACCACCGCCCTTGCAAATCTCGGAAGTGGAATCCGCATTTCATAAAGCCGCTCGAAATTAGGTTGCCAAGTTGGGTGCACCGTCGTGAATATTAAACCATCGACATATCATACTTATTCAATTTGCGGTTCTCTCTCTCTCTCGCTCTCTCTTTAGACGGTGCCCAATTTGCTCCCAGCGTAGGGGGCGACTGCTCAATAGGAGTCGTCGTCCCCGCACCCCCGGCTCGGCACAAATGAGAGCAGTGGGACATGATGGATACACAGTGCCGATGAACCCTGGAGGCTCGTGAAGGCAAACAATGCGATTTGCCCACCTCGTCAAAACTCATGGAGAGAAGATTGTCTTCTTCCTTTCTTACTTTTCCAGTCACTACCATCAACACCATCATCGTCATCGTGACCTAGCCACGCAAGCAACATTTTTTTTATGGTCAAAGCCATCTACATTCATATTCTTTGGGTCTTTCGGTAAAGCCACGTAGATAGAAAAAATAATGCAATCAAAATCACGACATTTCGATTGCAACACAAGCAATCGTCTTCAGGTAAAAAAGAAGACGATTGCTGTGTTGCGATCGAAACGTCGTGATTTTGATTGTATTATTTTTTCTATCTACGTGGCTTTACCGAAAGACCCAAAGAATATGAATTCCTGCAGTCTCGAAAGCTTTAAGCCATCTGCATTCCTTCATTATCACTTCATTAAAATCCTGCATCCTCATTATTACCTACATTCCTACATCATTTCATGAAAATCTTACATCACCATCACCCACATTGCTTATTTCTTGACAACTGCTTTTTGTGTTTAGTTTGTTGTCCTTCCACGGCACCCTCCGATTAGCACGTTTGGCTACATATGGTGCCAAAGAAGTTCATACATCAAAATCCTACATCATTATTACCTACATTCCTACATCATACATCATTATTACCTACATTCCTACATCATCCTTGCCAACGGTGCCCCTACACATTGCTCTATCGTAATCTTTTAAACAATGATCGTCAATCTCGCGCCCAATCACGTGTGCGCGCGCGTGTCTTCGTTTCCTTTCACTGCGACGAAGCGACGCATCTCTCAGGCGGATTAGCGATATCGGTTTGCCAGCTTCCTTAATTTCAGCAGCGGTGGTGGCCACACGAGCACGGGGAGGGGAAAAACCCCGAATTGAGAAGCTTTGGGGGGGGGGGGGGTGGGTGGAGGGTGGATGGAGCCAAGAGCGATAGAGGCCACCGCTAATGGCCAGGGCTCAGTGCGGCCTCGGGGCACGGCTCGCGTGTCGCTTGACTAATGCGCTCATTTGCGCGCAAAGCGGAGCCGGCAGACACGTTCATTAGGCGGTACACGAACCGTACTTATCGGCGTCTCGCCACCGCGACCCCTTCTCCCCCCTCCCCCTTCATTGCTGCTCCCCAGCCACCCTCTTCCCTCTGCCGCAGACCCACACGCCTCCCCCTAACTCTCCCTCGCCGAGCATCAACCTGCAGTCTCGTGGGGTCATCCTCTTGGGTGCGAAAAACCCTCCCATAGACCAGATTATTTCACGTCCGATTTTTTTTGGCGAAAATACTCCGAAAGCGGTGGAGCCGCCGTTCTGTTACTCCAGACATCAACAATAACAATGGTTTAGTCCAGCGGACCTTTTGGCTTTCCAGCCCAATATTATCCACCAACTTTTTTTTTTACACACGTGAACTCAAGTTGTGCGTTGACATTCCGGGTTTCATCAGCAGTCAAGCTTGAAAACCAATAGGTCGATGGACTAAAGCTATATTGTATTAGAATGTGGAGACAACAAAACGGGTAGATCTGTTTATATTTGTCAATATACAAGTCATTCATCCCCGAGCCATGCGGATACTGTCCTTGGTGGCCATGGGTAGTTCTCATAGCCCTCCGCTGAACCCAGGTCGGTGGACAATAAGAGGAGTTTTTTGGGGTGAGATTGCGTAGATGTGTCGTTAAACCCGCCACCACCCGACACAGGTTTGTCACGTAAAACAAAACTTGCCAATGTGGTTACTAGTTCAGCACACCAGTGTTTGAATCGAAGAACATGCATCTCTACTTACGGGCACTATTGTGAGCTAAATCATCTATTAGTTATCGATCATTGTACGCAGAGCGGGGATGCACGCCGCGTGATATTATACGACGTCTATGTCTATTTAGCATATCCCCTCCCCCCCATTTCCAGTTCCCAGTCCTCCCTCCACCACCCACTACCACCCCCGCATATCTTTACGCGTTTCGCCGCTTCTTATGACAAATGGCCTCGCTGTGCAGTGAGCGGAGATGCCCCCGTGTCCCTGGTGGCAGGAAATCAGAGCCGGCACTCAACGCGAGCTCCGGGCACGGGCCATCACGAACACCGCCGCCGTCTCCAAGCCGTGCTGACCGATTATATTATTCATCTCGTTTTCGCCACCGTATCGTTTCTACAGATTCTGTTTGCGCCATCATCGTCGTCGTCATTAGTCGCGGTCAATCCACTGCCGGATGCTGGCCACGCCAAGCTGTCGCCATATTCGCTTTGGTCACTCCGTTGGTCTAAACGTCACATTAACAGATCGTGTGTATAAAAAAATACAAACAATTGGGTCTTACAAGCACGGTTATACGGAGCCTAAAAATCTAATCGCGAGCCTGATAATGTATGTTAATCGATGGCTGTCATCGTATCTCTATTGTTCACCTGCCAAATCCTAGGCTTTTATCCATCGAGTCACAGCAGTTGCCCTGGCGCACCTCCGATTAGCACGGTTGGCTATGTACGGTGTGAAAGAAGTTCAACATACATACTGGGTTCGCTGTAGTGGCGGCGCGAGGCATAAGCAAGCCAAGCAAAGGCTTAGGACCGCATGAGCTAATTATCATGAAAAGACAATGCATCTCCATCACGTCTGCATTTCCCTTCTCATCTCACCGAATCTCTATTGATCTCTACATTTATCTCATCTCATGGAAACCCACAATATATAATATATATCATCAATCTTCTCTGGCACCTCACTAGAATTGTGTACATTTAAAGAGTTCCACTAAAATAATTTTCTGCGGAAGGCCCCCGATGGGCCAACAGCACTGCCACCACCATCGGTTTCCTGTGAGATTTGCACTTTGCAAAAGTGACACTTTGTTCCACGATTAATAATATGATCAAATGTGAGGTTTATTCGAGTGAAAAAGTGATTTTTTTTGCTCTCGAAAAAAGGACAGATAAAAATTACTTCTTTAAAATGATGTATCTAAGAAGGACACTTACAAGGTATTACCTTTTTATGAATAAAATGTGCGATAACGAATTAAACGATAATGAGGACATTTTGTATTCGTAGTTGTGAGTCATCTCGTTCCTCTAATTGGAAACCCAATTATGACACTGCAGTTGTGCGAGGGAGCATCAACCGCTTCATGCTTTAGGAGGAGGAGGTCCACTCCCAACCACAGAAGCAGCATTTCAAGTCAATATTCACCCATCATTACCATGTCCTGTACAGCCCGGCAAAGCACCCATTGAGAGTCAAGGTCTCTTGAGGAAGAGCCCAGTTAAAAGCAAGTGCTGCTCTGTAGCACATTACACACAGGACAGCTCGAAACAAGCACCACTGTGCAAGAATGAGACGCTATTGATGAACAAAAAAACACAACAAAAACACACTTTTTTATTTCAAGCTTTCGTGACTGCAGGGATTCATATTCTTGGTTCTTTGGGTAAAGTCACCACGTAGAAGGGAAACAATAAAATAATAAAAAATATTTAAAAAAAATTCTCTCGACTTTTCGACTGCTTGCTTGTGTTGCAGTCGAAACGTCGTGAGAATTTTTTAAAAATATTTGTATTATTTTATTGTTTCCCTTCTACGTGACTTTACCGAAAGAACCAAGAATAACAGAAACACAGTTTTTTTAAAGGCATCATATTGATTACTAAGAAATAGAACGCGAAATAATAATTAGCGTCGTGGCAGAAAAGCAAAGTCACAAAATAATTAAATAAACAATAGACCTGCATATACATTAGCGCTCCCGAAAAAAGAGATTTTTGTTACACATCCCATCAGCTACGAGGCCTTCTGGGAACGCATAACTTGAACGGTTTTCATTCAAGACAAGTCAAATCGGCAGCCAGGCCTTGCTTGAACCAATGCCGGTGAACTGCCTGATGTTATTATAGTCAAAGACTGAAGTGCGAGTGAGCAGAGATGGCCTCACCAGAACGGGGCGATCACCGGTACCTACCGAGGAGATGGAGCGATGAGACCAGCTCGTGTGCAGGTGTTGGCTGGATGGATTATTACAATATGGGGAATGGTGAGGGATGGTGACAGATTGTGGAGGCCTTCATAGATCAGCGGATCTTGGCCGAGAACGATCACACAAGAAAGTACGGTATATATCTTTAGTTTAATATAGGATTTTTGAAAGCGTATACAAATCTGGCACAGCAAAATAGGCATTCTAAACATTCGCCACATTCCGAGTAAAAGATGGCACTTACAAATTCTCCCTCGATTGTCCCCCCTGATTGCCGTCTCTCTCGTCGACTGTAGTTGCTGGAGACTCACGTTGCTTGCAACCTCAATACGGGGGTTGGGGGGGGGTCTCCACGCCGAGATGAAGGTCTCGGCGGGACACGGTTGAAGAACCCCGCGTGATTTATGGCGCAGGGAGCAATTTGTTTTACTTCATGTTATTTATGGTTATTAATTCCGGGTCAGGGTCAAGAAGGTGACCTTGGCCCCGCCTATTAAGAGGTTTGGTTCTTTTGCTTGCTATCGAGGCCACAGTGTTTACAAAAAACGATTAGGAAAATAACGAGAACAGAAACCAGCGAACAACCCGACAATCACTGAAGACTTAATCGGAATCATTGACGACGTAACCATCGGAACAGCAAAACGGGAAATCGGATTGAAAATTCACAATTAAGTAAGACGGTGACGGCTTGGGGAAGACTTTATTCAGCAGTGGATTGATCATGGCTGATGATGAAAATGCATAGATCCACACAGGGGCGGATGGATGATCTTAATGCATAATTTTACGAAAGAAATACACATTTATTCAACCACACGTTTCTCGTCGTCATTTTGTTGCAATGCGACATCGCGGTTTCAAGTGTTTCCGAATTGTTCCTTAAGCAGCGACATTCCTCGATTCGCGGAGGGCACGCTTTGACTCGACAAACGTACATACCCCACGGTGGCTAGGAGATGTTAACTACCTCACCTGGTATACAGGAGGTCGTGGGTTCGATCCCGACCCTGACGCCTGCTGCTGTATATTTTGGAGTTTTCATGTTTCTCTCTCTCTCTCATCATCATCACGGTGGCTAGGAGATGTTAACTACCTCGCCTGGTACACAGGAGGTCGTGGGTTCGATCCCGACCCTGACGCCTGCTGCTGCTGTATATTTGGAGTGTTCATGTTTCTCCCCGTGGTCGCGTAGATTTTTTCCTCCGTATCTTCCGGTTTCCATCTCTACATTCAGAATCACGGCGTTTCGAGCATTTGGCTGCTATAAATTTCCACTTGATAAGCCACTTCGTTGAGCTATCATTTGTGGTCAGGTCGCATCTGAAAGAGCAATTTCGTTCGGTGGGCCTTACCTGCTGAAATAAAAAGTAGTTTTCGTTTTCAATTTCCGACAAGGGCACACGTTGCTCTGTCGTGCACGAATTATTGCAAGTGCATTTTAAGGGCTTCTAGCGTGTGCTAACGTCCGAGACCACCTTACGAGATGATTTCTTAATTCCTCCGAGCCAAGTGCGTGAGTCGCTTCCAGCGAATGCGAACTCGGTGGCATTTCGTCCCGAATGTGCGCAAGGCGGGGCACGTCGGATGGATTCGGCGTGCGGGTGGTGTTGGGGGAACACGTGTTCATTACTTACGCGTGAATCCACACGCGTACACAATTACATACGCGCGCGTAAATACGTTCGTACACACACACACTCACCCACTCACCCATCCACACTTGCACAATCACCCACCAACATTCAATCCCCACCCACCAGCATGCATCTTCCTGTACCTATGTATATTATTGGGCCAAGTTCTATATATAAAAAAAACCGGCACGGAGCACGCAGTGGATAATGTGGCCAGTACCACGCCCGGCAGCCTTCGTTTGCCCAAGGATAATATTTACACACCGGCTTCGTAGCCGAGTGCGCCAACCAACACGCTACCGCTCCTCACCGCAAAGGCTTGCCCACATCCACACACGAGCACGCGTTTCTAACGACACATCGCACGCGTGCACACGCCGGATGATCAAGGCGACCCGGGCATGCAGAGCCATGAATCGGGATGCAAATTCTTAACTTCGTGTCTCTAAATGCGAGCGAGCGTAGTGGCCGAGCAAGCCCTCCCACCCACCTTTTGCGGCGCGCGTTCTCTGCGTTCTGCGGCTGAGGCCGGGGACTCTGGATATTGATTGACACCGTCTCCCGGACTCTCCAGCCAGGAGTCCGTCCCGAGGGAGCAATCCGCGGGCTCATTACAGGACGGAGCCATTAGCCGCATCTGCCGTGCGCCGCAGCCGAACGCCCACCCCGCGCAGTTTACGCGAAGGGCCGTGAACAAAAAAAAACAAATATGCAGACATTTCCATCACGTGAACACGTTTAATCCGTTAACCTGCGGGCATTCCAGTCAACCCATGCGTTTCTTCTGTTTTTCCTTCCAGAAGTATTTAAGCAGACAAACTGTGTACAGGCTTCGATTTTTAAGACGCTAGTCAGCTGTGTCAAAATCTATTTCCTCCGGCAGTACAAATACTCAAATTGGAACGATGCAGAAAAGATGAGCATGGCCCCTGCTCAAGGACGACACGCAAACATCGTGACGTGTTAAATATTCTCACCGTACCTCCGATTAGCACAGTTGGCTACGTAGGGTGCGAAAGAAGTTCGACGAACACATTTGGGCTCCATCAGCACAGGGCAGCAAAAGTGTACACGATTTCTCACGCGTTAATACATTAACCCCCTTCCCGTAACAACGTAGCAGTGATTTTAACAATTTCACACCGACTGGCGTGATAAAGTATGGCGAAATAACCTCCGTGATTGACACGGCATGGGCAGTGCCTCCATCCAACCGCGGTCTGACAAAGGGATGGAATCATGGTGAATACACTGCGGGTGCATCAACCATGAAATACGAGTCCGTCCTTCTTCACAGTGACCTTTTAAATATCACGTGACGTCTTTCGAAGTCGGTGTGATTGTCCTCATATTATATATTTTAAAAAAAATCCTCGCAATTTCATTAAGTGGAAGAAAAAACAACCTGGCAATCGTCGCCCCCTACTGCGAAAACCGAGCAGATGCCCTCCCTTAAATAGTCAATGGGTTTTTTTTCTGGGTAAATAAGTACGTATACTAAAGAACATACACTGTGGCCTTAATCGGAAAATATATTATAGGCGACGTTTTGGGCAATGTCCCTTCTGCACAGCACAAGTAGATGTCAGTGAATAAGAGTTGGAGAGTGGATAATAAGAGTTACACTTTATACCTTGTGGCCTGATGAAAATTAACGTTTTTTATTTTATGTAAGACCGGTTTTTAAAATTTGGTACGTGAAGTTACCTAAAATAGCACCGATTGGGCAAAAGACAACTCCTTAAATAAAAGTCATTACTCATTGATACTGAAATTCTAAAATGTTGATATCACACGATTGTGGGAAGATTTGTTCACGCAAGCACAAGGCACACTCTCCATTTATTTAGCAATGCAATGCTGGGGACCGATAGTAAAAGCTAATAATCACTCAGATTTTTGTTACAAGTATAATTAATAACGCTTTTAATTAGTTTTGGGATCGGCTGGCGTTTAGAGCTTCATCTACAACAGTCTTTACCGGTGGTGGGCACACACATTAACACATTAAACACATCATGGGACCTCCTATGCCAGTACCAAAATATGAGAATAGGTTTTCTCCTTTTTTCACATTAAAACACATTAAGACCGCAGTCACTTCCGTCTTTTGTATCCACCTTTCAGGTGATGAATATCGTTAACAGTACGCACAGACGTTACAATGCACAGCAAAAGTAAATCCAGAGAACATACTTGAGAGAATGTCATCCATGGTGAATAAATCCACGACGCACTTATTGAGCAACCTATGTACAACCACGCGACTATTATGCGTTTTGTAATATAATCGGAGCTATTTTACAAGAGGTGATCGTAAGACCGTGGGTGGAGCAACTCTCAACAATCTTACGTTGTCTTTTACACAATCTAACCTAATTATGCAAGTGTTAGACATGAATAAGCTATACCGTGAGGTATAATTACGCATGTCTGTCCCATGGTCGCTATGAACTCGTACTGCGGTGAGTTTCAGTGTAGACCACTCTATGCGCACGCTACGGCTACTACTCTGGCTGCAGGCCGCTTATCTGTGGCTGCCCCGCCAAGGCCATAACTCTCACTGGCCCTGGCTAAACCATTGCGTGACCTCCGGTCATCCTTGGAGCCGCTTTTGGCTAATCATCGAACAAAGATGGGTCACTGCATCGCGCGCTTTCAGATGCGCATGTGCGCCCGTCTGGAACGTTCTTTCTTGCATATCTCCAGTAGGAAGCCACTGGAGATATGCAATTTAAAATCTTGATTGAAAACTAATTTCTTTGTAACTGCTTTATGTTTATATTGTTGTCCTTCCCCTGCACCGATTAGCACGGTTAGCTACGTACAATGCGAAAGAAGTTCAACAAACAGTACCTACACAATCTCCATTTCCCGTGCCCTTTTTCTACTTTCCGCTCTCTCTCTCCTGCGCTTTCCTCTCCTTCTCTGCCACTTCTCCTGTTCTTGGCCGCTCCGATTATTGCAGTCAGTGTTCAGTACCGGTGTGTACGCACTGCCAATCTGCGTTGGACACCCGTCGCCGTACATAGCCCCGATCGCCAAAAATCGCCCCACTACCCCCGAATATGATTTGCACGTCCAAAGTGCGGCGCTTCCAAACTCACGACTCGCCGTCTCTTCAGCCAATGGTTCTCCTAGAATCTCACTCTCAGCTAAGTGGACATCCTGTGATCATACCCTGCAAACTGCAGACTTCAGTTTCCTTCTCTCTATCTTTCACAGCTTTTCCCCGATTGGACGCCATTCGGATCCTGGAAATTTAACACGAGGCATTTCGCATGGTCACCTTAAACGCGTTTTAATTGGCTGCGGGATGTCCTCCCCACGCCCGCGTAACACACCAAGCACCACGTGATGAGCGCCGGACGTGAGCCCTTCAAAACGCACCGTCATCTCCCCTCGCATTAACATCCCCATTAACTCGTCATCGTGATTATCCTCGCCACAACCCTCAATTCCACCAGCGTTCAGGTTGCAGCACGTCAATATAAGAGAGTGGAGAGGCCCCTTGCAGTGAGATAAGTGGCTGAGCGAATTACAATTCAAAACATTTGTTAAATGTCGAAATAATTCCACTCTTTTTAGTGTGGGGAAGATGGTTGTAGTGACAAATTGTCCGTTGCCATTTTTTCCAGGTGGTAGTTCTCGTAACTGTGGACTGTTCCCTTACTGCTTGAGTAAAACTATTTTTGCAAACACAATGGGCATATGTAAACACAGCACAAAGAGTCCATTCTAGACAGAACGATTTACCACCAGCCAAGATGGTATTTGGAGGCCGCTATAGGAGGGTATGAGGGTTGGAGAATCAACCAAAGGCCAATTCCATCAGGGACCCTTGGCCAGGGCCGTTAGCCCCATCCTCCCATCACCATTCGGCGCACCAATGTGCGGTGTTGTTTGTCAGGCAATCGCAGCATTACTCCACATAACACCGCAACCGTACATTTAATATTTAATCCCCGTATCACCATCATATTTTTCTTCGTAAGAAAAGTCAATTTAGGGCGGCCCAGTGGGAAGGGGGGCAAAAGGCGCAATTTGCCATGGGCCTCACAAAAGAGGACCTCACAAACAAGGTCTGTTTGTTGCTTATGAATAATGACCCTCACGTGACATTGACTGGTGCCTCAAGGGAACTTTGCTCAGTCCCGGGTTCTATTTTATCAATGCTTGAACGCATCGGAACACTTGAGCGTGCGTTAAGTAACAAAAGACAACGCTCCATTCCCATATTTGCCTCTCCATATAATAGCATTCTCTACACATACCATCAGCCACACTGCCTTCTGTGATTATCTTCGCAGCAGCATTGGGTTTGATACAAGCAATATCTGGACCGTTTTTTTACACACTTATCCGAATCAAGCTTCGGATAATTAAGCTAACGCTGGTGAACTTCTCAATGTTTAAAGGCAAGGACCCTTTGATAGAAATGGGTCCTAGTTTGAAGAAAAACGACATAATTCACGACATTAATTGATCGTCCTCGCGGAGAATGCTAGTACAATAAATTATGCAATGTAAGGCATTAAAGGCGTTTCAGTCGTAAACGCCACTTGCTTAAAACTGAACCGCACCTCAAGCTACGCTAATGACATCTCATTGAGACGCCCCGCTCTCCCTCAGCCCCTCGCCCCACTCCCATCTGTCAGATCCCCGCTCCTTCCTCCCGTTCCCACATCGCCTCCCACCGGCTCCCTCTCTTCCCGCAATCTGCTGCGCCGCTCACGGGCAATGCACCCTGCCGTGCGCGTCTCACGAAACTCGCCGAGGACAGCAATTGCAATCAAAACCCCAAGGAGAGAATACGCACACCACGAATGCAATCTCAGCCAAGAGTTCCATAAAAAATAAAAATAAAAACTTGTGCACCACAAACTTAGAAAGGCATCTTACAAACAAGTGACATCGATTGAAAGACTGCACACGAATTCGAGATTGGGGCCTCATTGTGCAGGATAAAAACACAATTTTTGCAGACACCGCCAATAAAATATTGTACGGTAATAGGCGAGAGAAAACAATGTTATTTCAAGGTCCCAATCCACACGCCTCCAACCGAACTCATTGCACATTCTATTTTGTTTCGCTACTCGAAAGACAAAGGAGCCATGACTATTCACGATTTTCAACCTCTCGGCAAATCTCGACAAAAGAACGAGAGCCGCTATACATGAGTGGTGTAACGTCGTACTCAATTGGTAAATGTTGTGGATTCACTCTTCAAACACACCGGTGGGCTGAAGAAGTAACTATTTGGCGTTTTGTTTACGTGACAAATCCCTTACTGATTGGCCCTGTCGGGTGGCGGAGGGTTTCGACATTTATGCTTACGCGATCTAACCCAAAAACCTTTATTATGAATAATATTGGTCGCGAAAACCCACGTGTTAAGCTGTGTAATCGCCTTGTACGTTGAGTACCGTTTGTCAACGATCAGTCAAAATAACAAGAGTGGAACGCAATCGAGAGGACGCCAACCGAAGAGATGGAGCAAATGAATTAAAATCCAGATTTATTTTTTTCTTTTTAGAACTGAATTTTGTGTTTAGTTTGTTGGCCTTCCCCCGCACCTACGACTAGCACGGTTGTCTACGTACGGTGCGCGAAATAAATTCAACATACATACAATTGGCTCGTGCGGAGGTGCGAAAGTACATTAGTACATCGCAGGTTCGCGACAGTGGCGGCTGCTTTGAATGACCATGAATGGTGCCAACGATGAACACGTTGGAGTGTGGAGGCACAGAGAGTTGTGAGCACCAGGATATCAATTACCACGAGAGCTTGGGGTGGTGGTGTTGGGGGAATGAATGGCGGCTGCAAATGATTAATTGCCGGTGATGTCACTGTCACGGTGGCTCAAAAAAAAGGTGTGGTAATTAGGCACTTTATAAAACGTGCAACAAAAACATTACCCGTCTCGCGGGAAACCTCGTGGGGTGTTCTAGTTAACGAGACTGGGGCTC